GGTCCCCCTCAAATATTCTTTATGTTGGAAAACATGACAGCACCTAGTGAGTCTCCAATTTAAATAATGGGGAATCAGAATGAAGATAACACACTGTCCTTCTAATACTTTTTTATCTACTTATTCTGTGCATTTCTGTGGATTTGCAGCCTCATGTTACCTAAAATCCCCAGTAGCCTAATTAAGAGGTTAAGAGAAATTACCTCACCTTACTGTATCATACCAAAACAGCTAAAGCTTATCTGCACCAACAACTTGTGTGTGAATTCCAAAAGTCATGCACTTTTTCTTTTTTAATATTTTTATTCATTTGGTATAGGGTCTTGCTATGTAGCTCAGACTCAAGTGATCCTCCTGTCTCAGCTTCCCAAGCACTAGGATTATAGGTGTGCACCACCATGCCCAGTTATGATGGCTGAGCAGAGATCGAACCTGGATCCTTGAGCTTGCCAGACAGGTGCTTAAACCACTGAGCTATCTCCCCAGCCCCAAGACAGGGTGCATCTGAACAGTGGTTCCCTGAAGAACCAACTTTATGATCCCATAAAATAATGGAGTTGAAAAATTCCTATTATCAAATGAAGTAGTAGGTGGCATGGCATATGCTGGTAAAAACCACCCTAGTATGTTACCAAATGTATGTAATACATACTTTGTACAGTACAGACTTACTTTACTGTTAAGTTTTCCACTTACACAACAAGTTTATTATAGAAGAGAATGCTGTGTTTCCCTGTCAGTGACCTCACACTTCTGCCTTTACTACATGTCTTGAGTGCATCAAGACTGCCATATAACATCTAGGTCTTTTTCAGTACTCTGATGATGTTTGCATGGTAATGAAATCACCCAAAACACATCACCAACCCTAAGAAGGGGTTTTTTGTTAGTTTTCTGGTTTTTTGAGACAGCATCTCACTACGCAACTTGGGCTTGCCTTCAACTCACAATCTTCCTGCTTTGGCTTCTGGAATACTGGGCTTACAGGCCATGTGCCACCATGTCTGGAACATAATCGTAACTCTAGTCACCAACCTCAAGCATTAGTAAACAATTACCATCCTGGTAAGTGTGCTTTCCAGGTTATAGTACAGTGCTCAGAGTACAGTCTAGCACATCCTAGTACCTTAGTAAATAAAAACTGACTTAAAAAAATAAGAAATAAAAATAAAAATTGACTTGATACCACTCTAACTTCCAGTATTAGTCTCCAAGTTCAAAAACTACACAAGATCTTTCTTGATTCATATTTAATATGTAAGTGTGCTATCTCTAGACTTCATTTTATTGCTTTGCCCTGAAATGTTCATCTTCAATAAAATGGATATAGAATCTGTATATATCAACTTCACTATGATTATAAGAATCCAATGACTTAAAGGATGTGAAAAGAGCTTTGAATCTATAAAAGTCTAATTTAAAATGCTACATTCATTCACTGAAAGTAAAACAAAGCTAGGAATCATATTTTAATCATATAGACCAGATGAATTAACCAAGTTCAACTCTTGTAAAAAACGATTTATTAACTTAAAATAGAACTGCAAATACAGGCAAAAGCAACTTTCTGTTCACATTTGAGTATGTTCAAATATACAAGTATGTAAAAAATTTTTTTTAATCTTCATGTTGTTTCTTTTTTTTTTTTTTTTTTACCTTTTAAAAAGTTTTTGGCACTACAAGGTTCGGTAAAGAATAGAAGAGACAAATTTAAAACACATGAAATTCTTTCCTAATTCTTAAGAACAATATATATAAAGTCTGAAGCAACCAAAGTATGAATACAGCTAATAGAAAATAAAGAATGTAATTTTTAAATTCTCTCTTTATACAATTCATCAAGGTTAAACAAAACATAAAATTCCCTTAAAAATAGGGTAATAAAATAGATGAAATTTGTATCACTCAACTAGTGATACTAGTAAAAACTATACTTCATATTTATATACAAATAATACAGCTTAAAAACAGTCTTAGAATTTAAATAAGCTATCTAAACGTGTTAAAATTTTAAACCAAGACCTGATTTGTTTTGCTTTCCATTAAATGTCACTTTTTCTGCTGAATGTAACTGACATTGAGGTACGGATACCCTTGAGACAGCAGGATTGGCTGGTTGCTGTGGATCGGTAGACCAGCTGAAAGAAAATGGACTCGCATTACTCCGACACGTTTCCTCTTGGTGGGTGGGGACAACGCTCTCTACACCGACGGGCAGCGCATCTGTCTGTTGGATATAACACAGACAGGCAACTGAGAGGCTTGTGCCTATTTATCTGACAGCCCTTTAGAATAAACTTGTAGCTAGTTCTCTTATTTTCTATTTATATATAACAAGAGGAGATGCAACATATCAAAACATTTGGAGGGAAAAGAGATTAAAAATGTGAATAGTGAAAAAAAAAAAAAAAAGAGAGAGAGACAGATGAAGGGAAGAGACCAAGGGAAAAAAATTTCCATGGAAGAATTTTGTTGTTGCTGTTGTTTTGTTTGTTTTGAGACAGGGTCTCAATGTGTAGTTCAGGCTGGGCTTGAACTCACAATGATCCTCCTGCCTCAGCATCCCAAGTGCTGAGATTAACAGGCCTGTGCAACAACAATGCCTGGCTCCATGGAAGAATTTCAGATTTTCCTTGCCTAAAAGAACCTGAACAAGTGCTAATAACATCTAGAAGCCCTAGACCTTTGCTCAAGGGAACCCAACTAAAGTCAGTGTTCTGCATTCTGTAATACAGAGGTACTCAAGAGTACACAGATAGGTTAAGAAGGCTTGAATATCTCAAGCCTGAGGCTTGAATCAAGGCCCTCTTCTCAAAATTACTTCATTTAGTCAACATTTCCTTAGGGTTTGAAGGGAGGTTAGGGGACTGGGGGGAGACTGTCATGCACAGGTATAAATTCTCTATGAACAATGTGCTTGTTATGTGCATCTAAAGTGCACCCATAAAATCCAATGTAAAAAAATTTTCCAAGTGTGTGTTTTTAGTACCTTGCACTCCAGTTAATCTATAGTGATTGACTCCACTGTTTTAAATTCCTGGGTTAAGCAAACTGAAGCCCACATCACCTATTGGAACAGATAATCTTAAGGCAAGTAAGGCTAGAAAAAAACACTCCTCGTTCCTTAAAATTCATAGTTTGTAGTATTCATTACTCAGATCAAAGCCATTACTGGTACTTCAGCACCAGCAGAATACAATGAACACCAATTTCATTCAACCCCTACTTCTAATCTGACCATGCCTCTATGTGACTGAAAAAATTTATCATATCTTTTCTGCATAAACTGAGTCCAAACTCCTTCATAATATGGTCTCAGCCTATCATTTGTAGCCTTCTCATTTATACATCTTTCCATATACCTGCATCTTCTAGTCACTATTTTCTCTTCTTTTTTATTACACCAAGCTAAAATTCAGTGACTTTTCACATAGAGAACTAATCTTCCTTCTAGGTTTGAGAGTAAAAAAATTCCTGGATCAATTTCAAGATCTAGTTCAAAATCTTGTGCGATGTAATCTCTCATAGGCAAATCCTGCTTATTCTACTAGGACAATGTTAACTCCATTAAACTCACATTCTTATCTACTTTACATATTTTGCTTTCTTAATAAAATGTGCATTAAGCATGAAGATTGTGTTTCACTCCTGCTTAAGCAACAAGCATCTAATATGCATGAATTTTTATGCCCAGAATTTGGCCTTCACTAAGACTCCCTGTTCCCAAATAAAACTCATCCAACATGTTAACTAATTTGTAAGCAATGGTACCTTGAGTATAGAAAGGTTTGTTGGGCTGAAATCTTGTATTTCCCTGATGCATGAAGTTTTGATGCAAACCATAAGGCCACGAAGCTGGGACAAGGGGGAAATGGGGGCGTGGTGCATGTTCCCAAGGAATTGGAGGATTGAGTCCTCGAAAGCCTGGCTCTGCATTACAAGAAGAAAAGAAAAACATATTTTAATATATTAGTCTGTTCATTCAAATATTCCTTTATTCCACAGAAACATACTAACTACATAGTACTAGCTATGAACTATGCTAAATCCAGCAATAAAAACTGGTTCTAAAGAATCAAGCATTGTAACACACGCACACTCATTATTTATTTAAATTATTCCAAAAAGAATATATACACTATATACACTATGATATACACTATACCAGATAAGCAACATTCTGAAGAGAGAACTAATCTAATCTGTGAAGGTTAGAGAAGGTTTTCTGAAGATAACTGTCTAGGCAATGTGTTAAAGGACAATTAGGCAAAATGGAGCACAGAGACAGTATTTTAGACAGAAGGAACAAAACATACAAAAGCCCAAATGCAAAAAAGTTTAGCAAATTTGGGAGCTACAGAACAGTAACACAGAAAAAGTATAGAGTAGACAGCTGAAATAATGGAGATGATATTCTAGACAAGGAGAATCACTCAGATAAACCATCAGGGGTAAGATAAAGTGGTAAGAGAAAAGGCCAGACAGACAGGTGGACACAATGAATGAACCTGAGTAAACCATATGCTAAAGAATTTAGGTTATCCTTAAAACAATGCCAATTATACCACAATCAACTGGGCCTGAAAGGTTATTAGATTAGAAACTTGAGGCACTGTAGTGTAATGGTTGAGAGCTTGAGCTTAGAATAAGCTAAAATTTGGGACCAAACAGGTCTATGTTCAAATCACAGTTCTGAAAAATTTAAGGAATTCCATTTTGAACCTCAGGCTATTATGAGAAACAAAAATGGCTTGAACACATTCTGGCATACAGGTAGAAATTCAAATACTACCTGCTGCAAAAAGTCAACCTCTCCTTCTGTCCTCCCCTCCCCTGTTCTCTTCCATTCTCTTTCTCTCTCTCTCTCTCTCTCTCTCTCTCTCTCTCTCTCTCTCTCTCTCCCCTCTATTTCATTCTTTCTCTAAGATGCATGTATGATGCAGATAACATTCTTCTCAAAGCAAACTACCTACTGAATCTTCTGGATCATTTCTGGTAGCTTTTCTCATTTAAGGTCACAATGAGCTATTAAATTAACTGAAAGATTCTGCCCTTATTCACTAATCTTTATAGCAGTAACTCAAATTAGCAAGTATGCAATTACAAAAAGTAGGGAGGAAGAAAATGAGTAAACCTCTACTGGCTAGTCTTTCTCAGGTATATCCAGGAAGACGAAGTGCCTGCTCACTGTAAATTCATACAGCCATATTATAGCTCAGGGTTGAAATGAAAGAGCTCAGAGTTTTCAAAATAAATGAACTGGGTATACAAATTTAAGTTAGAACTAATTGAGAAATGACAACTGAGAAATGACAATCCATCCTGCCCATTTTTTAAAACAGATTTCATAATACAAGTAATATAAGCTCATTAGAAATACTAATGAAAAATGGAGGAAATTTAATATAATTTTTACCTAATATAAAATCAAAAGATGGGCACAGTGATGCACTTATAATCCCAGCATTCAGGAAACTGAGGCAGAAAAATCTCTGCAAGTTTGAAACCAGCCTTAGGTTACAAAGTGAGCTCAAGGCCAACCTGAACTGCACAGCAAGACTGTCTCAAAAAGACAAAAATTTAAAAAAATTTAAAAACCCTAACTGTTGTTTTAATATACTCTCACCTAGTCCCTTTTTTTAAAACTAAGGATTAGCCTAGAAACTTCTCACTAAGCTACATTCCCAGTTCATTTTTATTTTAGAACAGGGTCTCTCCACTAAGACAGTAAATTGACAAGACTTGGCTCACAACTGTGATCCCCTTACCTCAGCCTCCCAGAATGCTGGAATTACAGGCATATGCCACCATGCCTGGCCGGCCAGTCCTTCCATTTTTAATACAGCAGTAATTTCAGTTTTTTAATATTAATTCTGAGTTGTGTACCTGCACAAGTATTAATTTATAACGTACTAATGATGTATAACGTGTAAAATGTATTTTATTATATATACCGGGCACTAAATTAGCTAGAGAGACAATGACCGATAAGACAATATTTAGCCTCTTTAAAATTCAGTCCAATGTGATGTGCAGAAAAGTAAACAACTTCAACCTTGGTAACAAAAATACTATGGATATAGATTTAAAGGAAATGAGACAAGACATACTCATCACAATTAAAGGATAGGATCAGTAAGAGTTATGGACTTTTAAAGAAAGTGACCTAATTTTAACAAATGGTGAGTGAGTCAAGCTTTGGGGTAAGGCAGAAAAAGCATTACAGTAGATATCTGAAGTAATGGAAATGATATTCCAGGCAGGCGGAACCATTCAGACAATCTGGGGTAAAATCCAGTAAGGTATGTTTTGGGGGATGTTTTCTTAACTCCTTATTGCTGAAACAGATCAACTAGCAGTAGGTAGGGGGTAAGGTTGAAATACTAAAAACTTAGTTAATATATCAAGGGCAAAACACTAGGTTTTCATATGTACATTTTCATGGATATATGTTAATGACTATTATGGTAATTTTTTAAAATTATCCCTAAAATTCCTTAAAAACTGATAGAGGGAGAGAAACTTCTGGCCTTCATCTTTTTTATAAATTCTTTTTTTTATTTTTTTCTTTTCGGCAGAACCGGGGATTGAACTCAGGCCCCTTATTCTACTGAGCCATCTCCCTGGCTACCCTTTCCTATATAAATTCTATTTTAGGATAATTAAGATATTAATAAAAGAAAAGTTCTTAATAGACAAATCATAAGGAACAAATAAAAAATCATTTTACAAGTCCTAGAGAAACAAAAGATAATGGCAACAATTATCAATGGCAACTAAGAATATTAAGTAAAAATTCATGGACTTTAAAATGGACTAATATCCCCTAACTCACAGATCAATTTTAACTCACTAAAATGGAAACAACTACATACACCCTTCTAAAGTGAAGCATCAGAAAACATATAAGATCAACCAAGAAGTACTCTTTCCCTTCCATAAAGAATCTACTAGGAGGGCCAGGGAGATGGCTCAGAATAAGCGCTTCCCTGGCAAGCGCAAGGGCCTGAGTTCAATCCTTGGTTCAAACAAAAAACAAACCAAAAAAAAAAAAAAAAGAACCTACTAGGACCAGCCAGATAGCTCAGCAGACTAACGCATCTCCTTAGGCAGAATATAGGGGCCTGGGTTCGCTCCCCAGCATGCCCCCTGGGTGCGCTGAGACAGCGATTGAGACTTGGTACATGATAGTGTGCACCTGTAATCCAACCACTTGGAAGGCTGAAAACAGGAGAATCACCATGAGTCTGATCTACATAGTGAGACCATACAGATCCTTGCAGACCCTGTACTAAATACATTTAAAAAAACAAAAAGAATCTACTGGTGCCAAATCTCTGAGTTAAGTTATACACAAAAGATAATATTAGCCAACTCGTGAATGTGAGAAATTCAGTTTCTTCAACAAATACTTCATATGGGGGAAAAAAGAGACTTTATAAACTGAAAGGCATTTACGAGACATAGAAACTATATACATAGCACTTGGGAGGCTGGGGTAATTAAAAAAAATCTACATATGGGCTCTGAATCGTAATTCAGAAAATAAAAAACAAGATACTTTTTCCTTAGACAAACGGAAAAATGAACAAGAAGTGGGCATCAGATAATACTGGAAGCTGGAGATGTAGCTCAGGGATAGAGCATTTCACTGCAGATGATACTGGATACAGATCTTACAATTTTTAAGAGATACAAATCAAACCTTTTTTTTTAATGGTGATATCATGTCAGACAAAAAATAGTAAATTACCGATAACTGTTAAATTCATTAGTGAGGGATCATCATACTTTATTCTCCTTTTGTATATGCGTCACAATTTCCATAAAAATCTTAAAATAAAGACATTTATCACTAAAAAGCTGAATATAAAACTAGTAAATATGGCAAATGTCAACTACTTTTTAAATAGGTATAAAATAACACTTTATAATCAAAGTATTAGTACTTACATCTAGAAACTGAGAATACAGCTTCCTATTTTTTAAATGTTCTATAATACATATTAAACATCAAAAATTGAATGCTACTCATTGTTATTAATATCTTTTGCTTACTGAAGAACTGCTCCTTACTCAGAGCTACAATAGAAGCAGAGTATAGATTTTGAAGAAAAAACATTTTTATTTCTTAGATCTACCATTAACTTTTCAACTTATCAACTATAAAATGAATGTCAATAATACCTATAGCAAGAAAGTGGCAATAATTTTTTTTTAAAATATAGCTAGTATTAATATGCATTGTTTCATTCAATATTCACAATATCCCTTAGATGTTATTAATACCTTTTTTACAGATGAAACCAACACACAAAATAATTAAGTCATTACCCAAGACCTCATAATAACTGGCAAAGCCAGAATTCAAATCTAATTCAAATATGATCCCAGATCCCATACTATTTACTTTTATCTAACCCAATACTGTATCTTCACATATATTACTGGCCTTGTCTTTATTTCCCAGGTTAAATCAATAATGCCAATCAACTACCCTTCTACAGACAAGTACAGAAGAAAAAGAGGAAGCATTACCTGAATTCCCCACTGCACCGTTGTTCACCAGGGAATTTGGAGCCACAGTTCGAGGCCAGTGCCCCTCATGAGAGGAGCTAGGGATTGCCATGGGTCTGGCAGCAGGCTGTGCAAAAATGATGCTAGGATCATTGAGGCCAATACTGCTGGGGGCACTGCCTGGTGCAGAGTGGATTACTGGGCCATGAATGGGCCAAGATGGGGCAGGGATTTGGAGAGGGTGCATTGGCAACAATCCCATATTGTGCATGGGAGAATACTGAGCTGGTGGTGACTGGGGAAAGTTATACATGGGCATCTGGACCTGATGGGAAGCCTGCGCTCCCTGCTGAGGTGGGCCAAGCTTAGGTTGGGATCCTGACTTGGGTGGAGGCTGGGTAACAGCAGCTGATTGGGAAGGGTTCTGTGCAAATGGCTGGGGCTGAGGAGAATAAGATGGTGAATCAGACTGAAGAGGGAAAAAAAAAAGACATTTTAAAATTAACATAAATATCTTAATAAGAGAGACTATTAAAATACAAAATTATGAAGTTATTTCATTAAAACATCACATACACAAACTACAGGATATGTATAATAATAACAACTTCATTTACACAAAGATTTTTTTTAATCGTTTCTCATAAGGTAGTGCCTTACAAACTTTTAAATTATCCAAAGATAAGACAGTGTAGAAAACATTCCCATCATGTATAATATGTATTTTTCATTGTGAACTAGTCACGTATAAATAACTCAGTTATTGTTTTTGATTGATAAATAGACTATTGAACCTTTATATACTGGGCAATATTTAGGTACTAAGAAGACTAACATGTATCCCTTCATGGATTTTAAAGTTTACTGAGGAAAAAGAGGGAACAAAACAGATTACATAAATAATTACGATAAAGTATAATTATTACTATGCTAAAGAATGTATAATGTATAAAATATAATGAAAATTACAAAGCAGGAATATCTAAATTTACTTTGGGAAGAGGAGAAAATAAGTGGAGAATAAAAAACACTTCCCGAATAAACTGATTTTTGAAGCTTAAGACTCAAAGGTAAACAGAAACCAATATGCTAAGAGATGACACAAATACAGGGAAGGGAAAAGGATTTGTAGGTAGAGGGATTAACATGACTGACAATGTACACACATGAAAACATGGCTTTTTAAAGTAAGTGGTATTTGAAAGAAGGTTAATAATACTGTATGCACATCTGAGGCTCAAGAACTACATAGGGACAAGATAATGAAGGGTTCTTGTAGCCCTTGTAATTTACACTGTATACCGAGGGCAGTGGGAAACCACTGATTGACTGTAATAAGGTCAGAAATATGATCAATCTGCATTTTAGAAAAATTATTCCCATTTAATAAAAATGAAATAATAGACAACCTGAGTCTACAATGTTAAGTGAAACAAGTCAGATACACAAGTTTAAGTATCACATAGTTTCTCTTAGATAAGAAACCTAGACTTTTAAAAAGGCAAGATAAAAGATAATATGAATCATGAAGATAGACCATTCCCAATGGAGAAGAGGGTCAAGAAATGAGATAGGAGAAGAAGGGATGACAAAAAGGAATTAGGAGGTATTATGAACATGGGTGAACTCCACACAAGGAGTGTAAACATTATTAATGGTACCGATACTTTTCTACTAAGTAAAGTATGAAACCTGCAAGTCATTACCTTATTTTAATTTCTCATATTAGGTAGTTGTTATTTTATTTTATAAATGAGGCTCCTGTGAATTAAGTAGTTTGCCTATACACAGAAACCTGGGCATGGGGCCAGAGGTGTAATTCAGTGGCACAGCACCTGCTTGGCAAGTGGGAGGTGAGACCCTGAGTTCAATTCCTGGTACCAAAAAATAAAATAGCAAAAAAAAAAAAAAAAAAAAAAAAAAAAACTGGGTATGGTGGCATAGACCTGTAATCTCAGCATTCTGGGAGGCTAAAACAGGAGAACTGCAAATTTTAGCCCAGGCTAGGCAATTTAGCAAGACTGTTTCACAAATATTTTTAAAGAGCAACTAAACATGCAGATCAATGTAAAGGCCCTGAGCTAAAACTCCAGTACCACCACCACCAAATACACAAACACACACATACAAAAATAGAATACATTATTATATATATACATTACTCCACTAATAATGCTCAATCTCCTTATGGGGTTAGTACCATATAACTTCAAAGGTGATTGCCAGTTTAACAGATAAAATCCCTAATACCCACTATGGACTGTGCTATCTTACGATCAACACTAATTCATTCACACACAGAGTACTTACACATTCTGAAGACTGTCTAGTCCTTACAGACTGATCCCCTTGTTGCTGGACTGAACCAGCTACCTGCTGGGCATTTACAAGATTTCGGACCAGCTGGGCTGCTAAGAGAACATATCATAAAGAAAATCAAAAGAGGAAAAGAATAACAAGAAATGGCAACTGATAAGCTTTTTAAGTAAAATGATCTCAAATTTCTCCACATTCTTACACACATAAAAGTTTTAAATTATGCCTACATTAAATATATACAATAACTAACTTTCAAAGCCATTTTTCAATTCTAAAGGTCAATTTATTTGTCATCCCCCCAACTCTAGGTTTGACTGCAATTTTTTTTCCAGGCTTGGGTTCCATGCACTCTAGTTAAGATATTCTCCCACTGAGCTACATCCTCAGCCTATATTAACTTAAAAAGTACAACATAGTTTAAGATGTAGCTCTGTAGAACAGTGAGTACTTATTAGCATTTCACAGTCCTAAGTTAAATCCACAGCATTAGTCACTTTATGATATCAACATATAAGACTTTATATCCACCAAAAAATATTTTTGCCATTTTTTGTTTACCTGCCACACCGCTATTTCGCTGACGGGCTAGCTTAACCTCTGGGCACTCCCTTCGTACATGTCCTGCATCTCCACATATAAAACACCTGAGGTCTCTTGGGTCTCTAAAGTCTCGAGTGTCATGGATGTCCCGGGAGTCATTCTCTTCCTCATTCCCTTCTTTCTCTTCTTCACTGTCTTTCTTCTTTAATCTAAACAGGAAAGTGCTGATACCAATAATGTGGGACTAGGATTTTGTGAACTGAGCTTGCTAACTCACAGAACAAATTATCAGCTACACACAACAAAGAGACTGACATGCTCATTTGTTTCATGTGCTTGTTTGAAGGGAACTCACTTTTAATACACACCTATTTATTTGCCAAAAATGAGGGATTCTGTTAGTTTTATAATTACATTAAATATTTTTAATATAAAATTTAACTGTAGGAATCTTTAGAGATCAATATTAACTCCACTTTAAAGAAGAAACTAAGGCTTAGAGACAATACCCATCTTGCCTAAATTTAAGAGTCAACAAATAATAGTGATAGAAATTCAAAACTTATTCTGCCAGAGAATGTCCACATTTTTATACTGCAACAGACGATATAAAATTTTCCTGGCTTACTCTAAATACAGTGCATAGAACCTGGGAGTCTGAGTGTAGATACACTGTGAGGATATATATTAATTGTGTTACATAGTATTTATATTCTTTCTCACAGCAAATATTTTAAAATTTAGTTAACTGTATTGGTTTACATGACTGTGAGATCCTTAGAACCTTATGTAGTAGTCATTTTATTCCTTAGCTTTTACCATAGTTCACAATACAAAATAAGGATCAAAAAATGCTTCAATTAAAAAAAAAATGAATGAATTACTAACAGCTGAATGTTCAAGATACCAGAAAATTAACACTTACCTAAGGTTCAATTTAAAGCCCTAAACTTTCTCAATACATTTCTGAAAACAATAATAATCACCAACTGGCCTTCCATTTATCTTCCATTTATTGTTTTGTTTTTTTTTTTTATTTTAACATTTATTGTATGTGTATGTGTGTGTGTGTGTTGTGTGTGTGTGTGTGTGTGTGGCCAGCTCAGCCCACCAGGAGGCGCGGCTGGCTGGCATGTGGTGCTGGAGGATTGAACCACGGTCCCTGTGCTTTGCCAAGCTTGTTCCAAGTAGGTGCTTTAGACTACTGAGCCATCTCTCCAGCCCAATCTTCCATTTATTGTTGATATATAATCATTTGCCAAGGCTGGGGAGATAGCTCACCAGTCTAAGTGTCTGCCTGGCAAGTGCAAGGACCCGGGTTCAATCCCTGGTACCATATACCATGACAGCCCCAGAACCCTGGGAGAAGCCCCGTGCCAGCCCTGAAACCAGGCAGGGTGGCACTCACCTGTAATCCCAGCACTAGGGAGGCTGAGATAGAAGGATCACTATGAGTCGCTGCATAGCTACATAAGTGAGACCCTGTACCAAATAAATAAAGACTAAAAAAAAGTTTTTTTGTCGGGGAGATTGCTCAATAGAATAAGCGCTTGCCTGGCAAGTGGAAGGGCCTGAGTTCAATCCCCAGCTCCCCAAAAAAAAAAAAAAATTTCTTTAAATCATTTGCCAACCTTTTCCTTTTAGGGCAGTCTTTCATGTAATGGCCTATTTTTCCACAAACACGGCAACACCGATCATTAGGAGCCAATTCTCCATCTGTTAATACTCTTGAATCAAAGAAGTATTCCTAGGGAGAAAACATAGTTTTACTAGAAAAAATTACTATAAAATTTTTGGTTTCATATGGAAATGAGAGCAAGATGGAAAAGATTTTTTTTCAAAAAACATCATAAACATCAATAAATATTATAATGAAAGGATGTTATAAAAATAAGATTCAGAATCATCATCGCCATCACAGTTAATAATAGTTTACGCCCACATTACACTATGCAGAGATGCTACCAATGAATGAGAAAATCTCAGAAATGTAGACAGATACTGCTTTATTTCCATCCTCATTTTACAGGTAAGAAAGCTGCAGTTCAGAGTTCATTTGCCCACAGTGAAAAAGCGGGTTAAATCTCAGATCAAAGATTTGGAACTAAGTCTATTCTGAAAAAAGGTAATGCTTTCTGCTATACCATTCTACCTTTGGAAAGAAATTATTCTCTATACAACAGAACTTCAAATAAATAAAGCAATTCTCTATTTCAAGTATAAATGAATTTACAAACAATTATTAAAGAACATATATCATTCATCATATAAAGTGAAGTAGAGCTGGGGAGATGGCTCAGCAGCATAAGTTCCTGCCTAGCAAACAACCACAAAGTCCCAAGTTCGATCCCCAGTACTAAATAAATAAATAAATAAATAAAGTGAAGTAAACTTAAGGAGAAGTTAAGGAACTAAGAAGTATATACTTTATCCAGGTTTTAAAATCAGGCTTATTTTTGGTTTTCACTGCTCAGTTTGGCTGTCACAAATCCTAACAGTACTCACACTATTTCTGAAAGACAACAGAACATGTCTGGGGCTGGGGAGATAGCTCAGTGGCTTAAGTGCCTGCCTGGTAAGCACAAGGTCCTGAATTCAATCCCCAACACACATACAAGAAAAAGAACATGTCTGCTTAACTGTCTATACAAACCTATCTCAAGTCAGAGATAAAAAGAGACACATTCAATAGAATGGCTATAACTTGAAAAGAACAATAATAAGCATTGGTGAATGTACAGAAAAACTGGAATGCACAAATATTTCTGATGGAAATGTAAAACAGCACATCCATTTAGAAAACAGTTCACCAGTTCCTCAAAAAATTAAACACAATTACCAAAATGACACAGCCATTCCATTATTAGATATATACAAAGAAAGATGAAAACAAAATCACAAAAATATTCATAAGCATTATTCACAATTGCCAAAAAATGTAATCAAAACATCTAAATGTCAGACTTTTATTTATGAATACATAAAATATATAAAATTCTATACAACAGAGTACTACTCAGCCATTAAAAAAAAAAAATGAAGTCAGTAAAGCATGGTGGGGCATGCCTATAATCCAGGCACTCAGGAGGCTGATACAAGAGTATCATGAGATATGTAGCCAGTCTGGGCTATCAAGCTGAAGGCTAGTCTGTGATACATACTGATACCTTGCCTCAAAACAAAATAAGCAAAAAACAACAAAATGAAATTATAATATATAGTATAGGGCCAGGAAAATAGATAAGAGGAATAAGTGCTTGCCTGGAAAGCACAAGGTTCTGAATTCAATCCCTTATATCACCAAAAAAGAAAAAAGAAAATAATATATATTATAACATGGATGAACCTAGAAAATATGCTAAGTCAAACAAGACATTTGGAAAGACTGCATTATTGTATTACTCCATCTATATGAAATGTCCAGAAAACAAAAATCTATAAAAACAAAAACTGATTAGTTGTTTTAGAAAAGGAAACAAGACAGACTGCTAATGAGAGCAAATTTGTTTTCAGAGAAAACAAAAATGTCCTAAAATTTAATTGTACAAAATCCTAACCATAGTAAAAAGCAGCACTTAGTTGTACATTATGTGAATTCTCTCTCTCTCTCTCTCTCTCTTTTTTTTTTTTTTTTGTGGAATTGGGGATTGAACTCAGGCCCTTATGCTTGCCAGGGAAGCACTTATTCCACAGAGCCATCTCCCTGGCCCCAATTAACTCTCTTAATGCTACTTGTCAAACATGGACCAGATAAATCCTTTTTACATTTACCATTTTAACTGATTAAACTCTTTATGACTTAGGACAAAATAAAAGCCTTTCTCAACTTGCTCAGTTAGGTCAGAAACCTAGGAATAAAAATCTGTTCTCTGTCATCTATCATCACTAATCAATCAAGCTATAGTCCATTCTATTCCTGAAATATCCCTTAAATCCACATTTCTCTATCCTACCATTCCAGAATGACCTAGAACTGAGATTAACAAACTTCAGATGATATAGTAAAACTTAAAAAGACTTATAAAAGAGAAAACAAATTTCTACAAAATTTTTTGTTTAGAAAATGTCAATACTAATAATAGTGAGACATATTTTTTTGTTTGTTCCCTTTTTTTTTTAATGTGCTATGTAGTTTAGGTTGTCCTTACATTCACTACGTAACCCAGGCGGGCCTTGAATACTCTTGCCTCAGCCTCCCAAGTACTGGGATTATAGGCATGTACCATCATGCCTGGCAAGAGACAATTTTTATAGTTACTAATTTAATAATAGAACACTTTTTGAAAGACAACAGTTCACTTAACTGAGATTCAAAGTGTTACCTATAATTAAGACTTAGGTCTAATGTTCATCTGTGATGCTAATTTATGAGCCAGATTTGGTGGTGCACATCTGCAATCCCAGCACTCAGGAGGCTAAGGCAGGCATATCACCACAAACTCAAGGCCAGCCTGAGCTACATAGTGAACTTAAATTCAGCCTTAACTACAAAGGGAGACCCTGTCTCAAAAAACTAAAATAAAATAAAAATAAACCAAAATAAACCAAAAAGAAAAAATTACATTTTATGTATTTCACCTCTGCAAATGTGTTGGTTTTTTTTTTTGTCTTGGAGAACCAGGGATTGAACTCAGGCCCTTGCACTTGCCAGGCAAGTGCTTATTCTACTAAGCTATCTCCCCGGCCCTATTGCAAATGTTTCTTACAGATAAAAAGGTTGACTATTTAGAATAAAGATAATAAAGGAAATCTAAGGTGTCTATAAAAAGAATAGTCTTCAATAAATGAGACATGTGCAGATTCAAGGAGAATTATAGATCTGGCAGCAGAAAACTGAAGGACTATTTGCCTGGCAATGTTGTCTCAGAGGAAAATCACATACTGAGAGTAAGAAGGGTAGAGATCAAAAATGTGAAAAAGTATAGAGGCTATTAAAGTTGGACAAAATAAAATTTCAAATAACATCTTAAAGAATGGGGGAGAGACACAGATAACAAAACAAATGTAGCAAAACTGTCAAACAGCACTGGAAGTCCAGTTAAAGTTTGATAAGTATTAATATAATTAATAACAATATTAAGTTATGGGTCACTATATAATATTAAGTTATTATAACATTAACATATAAGTTACTTATACTATGAAGTATAATACTAAATTACACTATGTACTTCAAACTGCCTAGCAGACCAGCAAAATAGCTCGGCAGATTAAAGTGCCTGCAAGCAGACACAGGGGCCAGGGATTTGATCCCTGGGCCTGCTGTGCCAACCTGGCCCCCAGGACACACTGAGACAGTAACTGAGACTGGGCATCGTGGTGCGTGCCTGTAATCCCAGCTCTTGGGAGGATGTAAACAGGAGAATCATTACAAGTTCAATCTAGTAGTTAGACCCTGAACACCCTGTAGACCCTTCCCTAAAAAAATACAAAAAAACCCCGAAACAAAACAAAAAAAAACCTGCCTAGCTTATGACCTTTTCCCTTTTGTTTAGCTATCCAAGCACACATACACATAGTAGACTGCTAAATTCATGTAATATTGGACACATTATGGTACAAAAGAAAGACAGTGTGAATGAATAATCTAAAATACAGCAGGTATAGTGGCACACACCTATAATCCCACTTAGGAGACTAAGGCAAGAAGACTGAGAGTTTGAGACCTGCCTGAGATACATACAGAGTTGTAGGTTAGTCTAGGCTACATAAAACACCATCTCAAAATCATTATTATCATCGTCATGACCATTTTTTCTCCTTCTCTTCTCAGAGAGTAGGCATAGAATCTAAGTCAAAGGAGATAAGAAATAAAGACTGAAAATAGACTGATAGATAAGGAGAAAAAGGTCTATACTGTACGTTGAAGGACCTAATGATGTAAAGGATATAATGGGTATATTTAAATGAACAAGGAAGGTGAAAATATGGCATATATTTTATCTTAGAAGAGCTTGTGCAGATTTATCCTGTATGTTATAATCTTAATACCCAGCAGTGAAACAAAATCATGGAGTAGTAAAATAAAAACGTCAAACACAACATACATAGGTATCTTCTACTATATAAAACCTATATGCCAGGGATACAGCCCAGCAGCACAGCACCGGCCTGGAAAGCATGAGGCCCTGAGTTCAATTCATGGTACAAAAGAAGCCCACACTAATATGATGAAAAAAATTCAAATGTCCATCAGAGGAAAATAATTAAACTAGTACAGCAAAGCTATGTAATACCACATACTGACTCAGAATAAAACTTCCTTTTTAAATGCTTCACCTTTCATGCCTAGTGCTCTATTTCTGGAGCACCATAACAACAAACGCAATGGAAGTTTTTTCTCTTCAAATTCTTATGCCTTGAATTTTTCTAGGTAACACGTGTGAATTTTATGCAAAAATTTTTATAACTGCCATTTTTTGCCTAAACAGGTTAATGCAGTTAAGGCTACTTTCTGGCAGGCCTCAAATTGATGACTGGCACTTATACTAAATAACATTAAAAACAAGAAACTTTGATATCTATGTACAAGTGAGCATCATTTATATTGAATTATAAAGCATTATTGAGATTTTATAATCATAAACTAAAATTAGCACATCTCTGATTAGTATTCTATTAAAAAGTCTCACTGTGTACATTACTTTTTATTGAACATACACCTTCAGATAGTTGCAAATATCAATTTCAGATAAAACTACACTTAAATGTTATTTACTTTATGTAAATTAATATACTATTAAAATCTTAGCTTTTTAATTCTTTCATCAGCTTCCTCTTTCATGGTTTACAGGTTGTTTCAAATTTTCATGTTATTTTATTTTCTCTCCACTCCCTTAAAATCTAGACAATCAAAAATACCTGAGGCCAGTGCTCCAAGGGAAAGAGTTCTGCTTTTCTTACTCTACCCCTAAGAAAAAAAAAAAAAGAGTCCTGACACTAGACTAAGTTCAAAGACATTCACTAAGCCATAGTAAAGACATGCTTGCTTTTGTCTCTCTTAATTAACATTTCTTATCATACTATCATACCAGTGAGGTTTCATTGAAATTAGAGCAGAAGTATTTTCTTGGTTTGGTATTCTCTGTGTATATTTTTAACAAAATCTCTATGGCTAAAAGACAGCAAAATCCTCCAGGCTTGGCCTGCCAGCCCTGCCCCCAGGACATGCTGAGATGACTGAGAAAGTGCATGGTGGCCCGCACCTGTAATCCCAGCCCTTAGGAGGCTGTAAACAGGCAGATCACGATAAGTCCTATCTAATAGAGAGACCCTGAACACCCTGTAGACCCTTCCCTAAAATATAATAAATAAAAAAAAAACATAAAATAAAATAAAAAGTTTCATTTAAAAAAAAAAAAAAGACAGCAAAATTCCAAAATCAAGCCTGGAACTGGGGAGATAGCTCAGTAGAATAAGTGTGTGCCTGGCAAGGGCAAGGTCCTGAGTTCATCCCTCAGTACTGCAAATAAATAAATTAAAAATAAAAATTACAATCAAGCCTGGTGTGGCATGGTGGCACACGACTGTAATTCTAGTACTTTAGAGGCTGATGAGGCAGGAAGATCCTTGCAAGTATGAGACCAGCCTGGCCCACAAAGTGAGCTCAAGGCCAGCCTAAACTGCATAGCAAGACCCTATCTCAAAAAGAAAGAAAGATTTTTAAAAAATCCAAAATCAAAATTGACCTACACTGAATCTTTATTAATCTCATTTCTGGTATATAAAAAAATGGATATGACACCGTGTAAGGTACTGGAGATATAACTGGGAACCTTACAGAAATGGCTCCTGCCCTCATGGAGTTTATGATCTACGAGGAGAAATAAATATAAATAAAAATTTTAAAAATATACATCTCAGGGCCAGGGAGATGGCTCAGTGGAATAAGCGCTTCCCTGGCAAGCCCATGGGCCTGAGTTCAATCCCTGGTTCCACCAAAAAAAA